TTATCATATTTTTCTAGAAGAACAAGTATCATTTTCATTCCAAATATTGATCATCAGCCACTGATTGGTGCATAATAGCATATCTATTTCCCATAAAATTTATTTAAGTTTGGGATTAAAAAAAAGGCATAATCTGAACAAGTCAAAGGTGGAAACTACATTTTGCTAGGCAATTTATGGCACAAGAAAACCACTGTTAAACACCTAGTGGCACAAATGGAAAAATGATACCAGGCAAATACCATGCAATTTATATTAAAATGTTATTGCTTTATTATGAATTATAATCACATCCAGCCCCTCAGTCACCTTGTTGAGATACAGCAATAAAACATTTGTGCAACGGTGCAAATGGTCATTAGAATTGACTAAAAGTTGTTGATCGTGGTCTGTAGAAAAAGGAAAGAGCTGATATGGAAAAAAAACTCACTCACCCCTAAGTCTGGATAACATATGGTCAGTGATCTCTGTTTTAAGCTAAATTGGGGAATCTATACTTAACATCAAGCACTGTCTGTTCAGAGCTGGCCAGAAATCCTCTTTGTTCAGCCATTGTCCCTTTCCCTGGAGTCCAGATGTGATCGCAGCTGGACGTGAACATCCACTAGCCAGTAACCACTTCTGCTTGACACTCAGTTTGAGCAGAAGCCAAGACCTTTAGCCCTGTCATAAGGTTCTCACACTGAGGTTGAGGGGTCACCTCTTCTCTTTGCCACTCAAGAACCAGATGGTTTATATGATATTATAGCATGCAGTTTAGTTTTTTTGACTGTACTCAGCATCCTCTGGTTACCATTAAGCATGGCAGCGTGTTTGTGTGTTAATTCGATGAAAGAAGATTTGTTGTTTTGCACAACATTTTTGTGTGCACTAGATAACTTAGTACCATACTGTTGGACTACTGTAGGTTGAAAAGGTATCTACAATAAGAACAAGAGTCTCAGATATTTTAGCATAATAAACCGTGTTTATATTTTACATGTGAAGCTGACTGAATGTGAAAGGTTATTTTACAAAATCAACATACTGTATGTGAAACTATTATTTTGACAATAGGTAAAATATTATGTCAATGAGGACCATCATCCCAGCATTTAATGACTGTTTAATAAGGATCTTCATAATATATTAAATTCCCTAAGTGGATAAAACTTATGATGTAATTCATAAACTTGAGATTTAGTTTAAGGTTAAATTTTTAATGTCAATTAAATCAGTCATTAAAAGGCTGTCACAAATTGAATTAACTGTGAAATGCCTATTTTTAAATTTAAAACTATTTTTCATTTTCATTTGAAAAAAGGAAAATTCAATGAAAATTTTTTTCCAAAAAGGAAATTAAGAAATTATTATTACTGGCTTGCGTTAATATGTACACCCTTAAGGTAAAATAACCCTTAGATCATACTAAACATAATTAATTTGCATTAAGATGTATTGTGAGACATAGCCATGGGATGAATATCAGCATGGAGAAATTTTGAACATTGGTAAAACAGAATGCAAGGTTGCATTCCAGACCTGAGTTGAGACCCATTGAGACATTAAGTTCCAAAGGAGGAGCTTTATAGAACATCCCGACTCCCCCTGGAGATCAGAAATAAGCTCTGTTCCCCCACATCACCTTTTTCTTTACTTGTGGATCTAGGGGTCCCACATCAGAAAGACAATGTTGCCAAAGGAGCACATTTTTCAAACTCTGATCAATGGTTGAGTACATTCTGCTTTCAAACGACCACAGACACCCCAGAAAAGGCTAGGTGCACCTCTCTTCCTCTCTTTATAAGAACAACTTGGCCCAGAGATTGAGCAGAAAGTAAAACAAAGCAGCCTCTTTCATGAGTCGCAGCTTCCTCAGAATGGAGATATAGTAAGGTAACAGGTCTGGAAGGGACAAGAAAGGTGTTTTCAGCCAAACATTTCAGGTTGTCAATGTGTTTTTACTATGTTTAAAACTGAATAGCGTAATTTATCCATATTAATTAATAATGATTGTAACAATAATTATTAGGGAACATAAAATTATTAGGAAATTATTATTATTAATGTTGCTTAAGTTATGTTTATTCCCTATAATGAATGTAAAGAAGCAGAAAATGCAGTTAGAATACTATATAAAACCAAGACTGCAGTTAAGATAAATCATCAAAATAACAAGCATTCATAATCTAAAGGGAGCAGAAAAGGGAATTTTGATCTACCATTTGTTTTAAACTAAGTATTTGCAATTTTTTGCAGGAATTGCAGTTGTTGAGTTATTTATAATTATATCACATTTTTATACTGCATAAAATGATCTCAGTTTTTTTTTTTTTTTATTTAAATGTGACAACTGAATTCCCTATTAACATGCCAAACTTAGATATACCCCACCAGTTTTATCTGACATGGATAAAAGCTCCCAGCCCACATTTGTCCTTTTCATCGGCCGTTATTTTCCTGCAGACTCATTACGTTCTGCCTTTACTGCACTGTGTGCCCAGATGGCAAGGCGTCTTGCAGTCATAATTCTGTGGTAATCCCTCCTGCACATGGTGCCCTTGCTCCGATAAACACTCTTCCTATTGTTTCCTGGGCTTCCTTCACATTCTTGGCCTTCATGGCAGCCTGAGCTTTCAGCGTGCAGAGCTGGACAGGTTTCATGCTGGACGTGTGAGTCTGTGAAAGATTCTCGCTACAGGTCAGGACAATGATGAGGTGATTTAAAGCCTGCTGTTTCATCTCCTGAGAAGCAGAAGGCATGAATTCACTTGTAAGAGTAGAGAAAGGCAGGAAACACTTTGTTTAATCCAAAATCATTATCAAAATATTCTTGTTATGCAACTGTTTTAGGTGATATAACTATCAATGGGAATATTTGGAGTTGTATTTTTCATAGCCTTTCATAGCTTGTGTAAATTATATCTAAATGATATTATGAAACTGAGAAAGTAATACCCCCCAGGTTTGGCATGCTCAAAACTTTGAAGAGAAAAAGTATTTTGTTAGCAAATATGAAAGAACAAATGATGCTTTGCATTTCCTCTGCATGTTTATGATGGCTCAAAGACATGGCTGTGAGGGTCTAATTAAAAATGTGCAAGGGTTTAGCAGCCTGCCGCTCAGTGCCAGCGTTTGGCAGCTCTCCTGTCAGGCAGCCAGCTGTTAAGTCCTGCCCTGAGTTATAGCCAGAGCCACCACTAGACATAGTTGGTTTGTCAGGACAAGGCCAGAAGCTATCGCACACATTTATCGAAGGAAATGAAAATATGAAATGGAATAAAATAAACATTTAAAGCTAATAATATCTTCCGATTCTGTTTGAAATAAGATGAAAATGCAGGCTGAAAAAAGGTAAACAATGGTACATTCTGGAAAGTTTGCCAAGCTGGCAACATTGACACACATGGGGCCAACAACCATGCACACAAATACTCACTCTTTTGCTCTAGGAGACCAATTTTCCTGACATGTATATTTCACGACTTAGTCATCAAGGTGGGTGCTTCAAGAAAATTCACAAACATGTGTGGATTAGTTAAACTCAATGCAGAAAGACCCCAGGTGGGGAATCAAACCAAGAACCACTTTGCTGCAAGCAGCAATGAACAATCATAATAATTATAATACACCCCAGGGCAACAACCATGTGCACAATGATTTGGACTCTAATACTTTATGCAGGCTTTTAGATGGTGTTAAATGTTTCATATAAATTTTGGTACCAATATACCATAGTTTTCTGGAACAAAAGGTCTTATCTCCAGAGTACATTTTGGTACTGGGCTGCTTTAAGGGTGGCTGAAATGTGGTGCTTTCCAGAAAACAGTTGTTTTTGATTATCATTTTCTATAAGGAATCTTACAGTGAATGTTTTAGCTTAGTGTTTTTTTTTTTCTTCTTGATTTTACAGGTTTTTCTTTCTATATTATCTACACTACCTGGTATGGTGTTAAAACTGAGAGTGTCATGGCTCAGGACAGACAACCCAGTATTCTGACAGACAGACAGTATGATGTTTCAAAGGGCATTTATTTAGAAATGAAGGATGCGCAATGCACAGCTTGGTTGTCTATGGCAGGAACCTCTGTAGGAGGGAAACACAGGTTAGTGACCAAATTAATCTGACAAAGCATTAAAAGAATGTGTGAGTCACTAACCTGGTCTTAAAGGTCAGTCCGTGCCCAGAGAAAGAGATGGATTCCAGCCGGATAGCTGCCATCACCATGCGGCAAACGCTGCCCAGATAGTTTCAGATGCTGAAGCCTTGAAGACTGCAGAACTGGCAGGAGATCAGATCCAAGCAGATGAAGGAAGGCAGGACAATCCAGAGGGTTAAGCCAAAGCCGGTGTCGAAGAGGTTCACAGGAGTCCAGGCCAGAAGATCAGAGTGTTGGGAGCTGGAGAAAATCCCATCTTTCTCCAGCAGAGTCCGCCGTGGATCCTCTGAGGGAGCCTCCTGCACAGGTGCAGCTCATCAAGATCATCAGAGGATCCACTACATAAGCTGTCTTCAGACCTTGTCTCAACGCCGCAGTGTTGTTCCAGTTGGTCAGCGCTAAAGCCTTGATCTCAGTGATTATCTCCATGACTCTAATCCCTAGTTGGACTCTAACCTTTGTTTCTGTGCCTCTAGGAAACTCGTGCTTCCTCCGTGAAAGCTCTGGAAGAGCTAACCTGCCGAGCCGACCCTCAGAGCCAAACCCTGAAGATTCTCAGACAACCTCCAAGCAGCTCTGGGCTAGAGCTGGGAAACCAAGGCCAAGGTCTGCTCAAACTAGACGTGAGACGCTGAAGCAGCTAACGGACTCTGCTACTCAATCCTTCTCCAGAACCAACAGTGACTCTCCCAAAGAGAACCTCAAGAACCCTCAAGACTTCGGTGAAACCAGAATCCAGGCCCGAACCAGCCTTCGGCATATTCAGTGTTTTTGTGCAAATAAACTTGTTAAACTTTTCATCCTGTGTCCGTCAGTGGTGTTCTGCATCTTTGGGTCTCCATTAGAGAACCGATCATGACACAGAGATCCGAAGAGGTACTGAAGGGATATCCAGGTTGGTGTCGGGAAGAAGATCCATCTTCGGTCAACAGACAGAATCCAGCAGGAATCTGAGGACAGGACAGGAAAAACGATCAGAATGGAAACAGGTAGGCTCAGAGGTCCAAAGGCAGAACGGGTCAGGATAAGGCAATCAGAACACAATCAGGTACGCTTAAGAACTCTGACCAAAGGCTCAAATAATATGGCACTGATGACTGGAAGCAGGCAGGTTAAATACAGACTGGAGCAGGTGACACAGATGAGAGGTAATGAGAACTGGGCAGATTTAGGCAGGTGAATGGAATGAACAATCAAACCAGTCGTCTGTGCCAAGGTCATGACAAAGAGGTAATTTTCATCAAAGTTAAAGGTTACTTTACCAGAGATACAGTATGGTCTCTGGAGTTTACAGGTTCATATTCAAAACCACAAGGTTGGTCATGGAATTTGTATGTTCCTTTCTTAGATAAATGATACTGATACTTTCCCAGAATTAAGAAGTTTCTTTCCCAAGCGTACTGTAGAGGAGAGGTGCTCAAGTCCAGTCCTCAACCGCTACTATCCTGCAACTTTTTGATGCCACCATTTTTAACACACCTGAATCAAATGAGTGGCTTAATTAAGTGAGCTAAATAAGGGGATTGAGGATTTAGATTCAAGTGTGCTAGAGAAGAGATGCATCTAAAAGTTTTATAATGGTAGCTCTTGAGGACTGGACTTGAGCACCCCTGCTGTAGAGCCTGCTGTCAGTGCGGGTCAGACAGAACACATCTGATGTCATCACCCTAAGCACAGGCTCCCCTCAGTGCTGCGTTCTGAGCCCCCTGCTGTTCACCCCTATGACATATGACTGCATCCCAAGGTTCACCACCAATCACATCGTGAATTTTGCAGACGACACCACGGTGGTGGGCTTCAACAGAGAGGACAACGACAAGGACTATAGAGGATAGAATAGAATTCAACTTTATTGGCATTACATTGTCACAACTACAAAGCAACAAAATTAACTCTCTGCATTTAACCCATCCCCTTGGGGAGCAGTGAGCTGCCATTGAGCGGCGCCCAGGCCGCAGTGTGGGTTTAATAGCCTAGCTCAAGGACCCAGAGTGGCATTCCGTGGGAGTGGGGCTTGAACTCAAAACCTCTGGAACATAAGTGCAATACCTTAACCACTAACTAACTAACTGGGGGAGCACATCACAGACAACCTCACCTGGACTGTAAACACCACCTCACAAGTAATAAGGGCACAAAAGCACTTGTACTTCCTGCGGAGGATGAAGAGAAACCCACCTGGTCCCACCTTCCTCACAACCTTCTACAGAAGAACCATAGAGTGCATGTCTACCAGTTGTCCCATTGTGTGGTGTGGAGGGTGCCGTACCTCAGACTGTAAGAAAGTGAAAAGAGTTTTGAGATCAGCAGAGAAGATCATCAGGGCTCCTCTTTTCTCCATAAAAGACATTTGATGCCAGTACTATGTGTCCAGAGCCTGTAACATTATAAATGACCCCTCACACTCCCACCATGGACTGTTCTCCCTGCTGCTCTCTGGAAAGAGGCTTCGCAGCATTCAATGCAGGTCCAGCAGGTTCCAGAACAGTTTCTCTGCCGCTGCCACCAGACTGCTGAACTGTTGAAAAAAATTTATTAAATAAAAAAAATAAATAAATACATAAATCATGTTACAGACTCTGCATCACACTGATAACATCAAACCATAAATACTGCATGATTGCTTATTATATATTAATCACTTCCATATAAATGCTTTTTTGCACCATTTTTCTCCCCCACTGTTTACATTTGATCACTGCTGCACTTTATGGAAAGGAAATGTTCATTTACTGTCTGAAAAGCTGTACTAAACAGTACAAATTGTCTAAGTGACTAAGTGCCTAAGTATAACTTTCAATAACTCAGTCTATAAGATCATTTCCAAGTTCTTCTAGGTCACATATCTCTGAACTGCACAAAAGGCTACTTTTGATTACCCTTATTGATCCTGCAGGGTCAATTCACCAGGTTATTTTTAAACAAATATAGAAGTTCCTTATCAAACAAAGAGGGACATCTAAGAAAAGAAAAGGTACCTTAACAAGACATATAATATTTTTTAAAACAAAAAATATTTAGAAAATAAAGGGAACCTGAAGCAAATGTCTAAAGATGTTTTCACACCAAATGTGATTACTGGATGTGGTTAATAAAGCTGAGGTCACTTGACATTTTCCCTCTCTATCACAATCTACAGGGACATTGTAGTGAACCATCCAGCTCACTTCACAGTGTCATCAAATAGGAATGTCTATCAACTTGAAAGTGTTACATCATAATCTGTGACCCATCATACTTCGTGGCCTCCTTTGGTCACAATATATAATGGGTCACAGAAAATCTTGTAAGACCGGTTTCTTTTGTCTTTTCAAATGACAGTGGCAGACCTTGATTTTACCCAGTGACTCAAGGTGCTGTGTCTGATGTAAAAAGGTGAACAGAGGCTTCAGAATCATATGAGTCAACCCAGTGTCATGATCTTGGCACTGATGGGTGGCCTAGTTGCTCACTCAATTCACCTGTCTAACTCTTTCCAGGTGTGCATTAGTGCTCATCTAATCCCCCTATTGCTGCTTGTATTTATACAGCTTAGTCGCAGCCATTGTGGCCAGGTTAATGATGCTCTTACTCTTTTTGCAAAAAAAAAAGGTTTTTCTCTGTCTCACTCTTTTACACAACATCACAACCACATCCAGACCATAACTGGTTCAAGTAAAGCTAATTGACAGAAAAATTGAGGTTTTTCAACTCCAACTAAATTTAGTTTTGCTCTGTTTATGCAAATCGTGCTGTTCACATACCTAGAAAAGTTTCCTTTACTTTGCTGATCATTTATTTGCTCTTTAACACATCTTTACAAAGGAATAACATGTAAATCCCTAGCCACATTTACATTTAGTGTGAATGCAGTTTTAGGTTTGATTGTTCTTAAAAACTAACGTAACCGCAAAAGGGTGTTAACAGTTTCATAATTAATGTCAGTCTGGTGAGGAAACTTAACACCTATACTGATTTGGAGGTATGGATAAGAACTGACCAATCCATTTTCAAATGAATAATTTTAACAATTTGTATTAACAGTTAGCTTTGTTGATCTTGGGTAAAGCTTGAGAAGTAACAAATGTATTGACAAAATTTTTTTTTATTTTTAAGAAAGTGATTCCTAGAAGTGGAAACCAGGGACTATGGATGGGCAATAAAAGTGAGACATCCTTGGTCCCTTAATATTTTTGCTTTACAGGGTTTCCTCCAACACTCTGTTAACTGATGATCATCCTTGTTCTTTGTTATTTTCCATAATCTATATATTTTTTTTAAACATATAGACCTGGAATGTCTATAACAGGGGCTTGAAGCATTTCTCCCAACTTCCACTGAATCCCCCTCCACACACTCTTTAGCGTGAATGTTGTTCTTGAAAGAGAAAAAGTGACGCTGTGTGCCGACAACAGCGCACGACAACAAAGCCCCCATCCACTCTCTCTCTCTCTCTCTCTCTCTCTCTCTCTCTCTCTCTCTCTTAAACACACACACGGGCATTTTTTCTATCTTTGTAGGAACTTTTGACTTCCATTTATTTCTAACCTATTCCTAAAACTTAACCACATCTCTTACCCTAACCTAACCATTGCGGGTACATAATCTAAACTTAATTCACTCCTTAGTCCTAAACCTAACACCTAACCCTTAAACAGCAATTGTACTCATTGGGGAAGAGACATTGGTCCCCACAAGGAGCAGTCAGTCCCCACAACGTGCTATTTTTCCATTAAATGGGTCCCACAATGCTCCAAATACATGCATACACCACACACACCTCTGATTCCTCTGTCTTTCTCTCCTTCTATTATCTCGTTTCGGTAAAAAGGAGGCATTTGTTTGTTCTTCTTTTGTTTTGCTCTGGAGATGCTTTCTGTGCCTCCCTCCTCCTGTTCTCCTTCCCCCTCTCCCTGTTCTGCCTTATGCTCTCGTTCTCTCTTCTTTTTGTTTTCCTCCACGCCGAGGCTCATGGGCCAAAAGCTCATAATCATTTCAAAGGTCCTTTAAATATATAATAAGAGTTTTGCATTGTGATAAACAACATGTCAGAGGAAAAACAGCACGCAGGAACAAACACACACTAAGTTTGATGCGACCTGCATCTCTCACAATGCGGTGGTTCTTCTGTAGTCACTGAAGATCATGAAAAATAAAACTGTGAGAAAGGAGGAGCTTTGCACAGTTCATAGTTTAAAACATCCTTAAGAAGAATTTTTGATTTATTATGAAATGAATTATTTATCAATTATTTTATTGACATATATAATGTTTAAGCAATTCACAATTGTTGTTTATCAAAACTGGCTTCGGGTCCCATTTCTCTGCTTTTATGGCCTCTATAGGAACGTTTTTTGAAAATGTTTCTTCTGCAGTTTTCTGAAGAATCTTTGTCAGTTGTTTAAGGAAGGTTGTAAATTATGTTGGTGTGAATCTGGAAAATAGAGTTCTGCAGAACGAGGTCTAAAAAGAACTACGGATCACTTGGAATAAAGATTTTACCTTGATAAAGTATTTTACTCAAAATGTTCTACATTCTCTTTCTCATTTACTGGTCAGCCATGGACAGTTTTGCTCAGCCAGCTAACTTTTGTAGAAGTCCAATTTTAATGCGGATTTATCCATTCGTTAAAAACATGTCCACTGAGAGTTGTCCACCTGAGATGAGCTCTGGTCATGACAACTGTCCGATGCTGTATTTACAATAGCATAGAATAGAAAATCCCTTTATTGTCCCACAATGGGGAAATTCTGGTTTACAGTATGTTACGATGAATCCAATCGGGGTTACAGTCAACTCATTATTACGGTAAGTTCACACAATCAGTTTGAGATTATATGTGCTTTCCGAAATGGTGTAATATTGGCTGGAAGTAGCTATCAGAAGGGTTAATTGTTATCATAAGGGCATAAACTATTTAAAAAATATTTAAAGATTTTGAAGTTTCTATATTTGTACTTAAAATAAATAAAAATATTAATCCTCATAGTAGTTTAAAAATATTTCATGGGAAATTGTTTACATAAAAACACAACCAAGCAAAGTCAAAATAATACTTATAGTTTTGCCCCCTGATTCTGGCCCATTTATGGTAATAATATGAGTTTACTTTCAGAGGCCTTTTAAACACATTAATGATTTTTTGTGAAAATGAAAAAAAAACTATTGTTGCATTTCTACCGATCATTTGACATATAACGTTGCACTCAACACGTTACGTCTAAATTTATTAAGGTGGTGGAGAGTGGATTGCTGTGAAAAAAAGGTCTGGGTTGTAGTGAAAAGGAAAGAAGAAAAAATATTATTTCTTATAAGGAAGCCATGACCCATGTGCATATAGTAATTACTTATGGTCAATTACCCAACAAAGATTTACATTCTCTCCCTTCTTTTAGAGAAATAGTTTGTGCATATGATGGAGCTGCACATCCTGTAGTGCAGCACCAGCAGATTCCGCAATAGCTTCTTCCCCACCGCTATCAGACAGCTTAACTGTTGAGAAAACTCTGAAATAATGTCACAGACTCTGCATCACACTGATAACACCAAACCAAAATACTACATATTTGCACCATATATATTTAATGCTCTGAACTTCCATATCAATACCTTTTTGCACCATGTATTTTCTCCCACACTGTTTGCACCTGATCACTGTTGCACTTTATGGAATGAAAATGAAAGCTGTAAAAAAGGGATTTAGCTTTGTATACACTCTGTGTATACAAAATAACAATAAAGATCAAAATTAAAGCACCTTAATGATTCTACTGTTTCCATGTGCACAGAGGTTGCAATCAAAATGTTATCATGTTACTATAAACAGGTTGGGATTATTGGTTTTAATGGATAGCGGACACATACAGTGGGCCTACATCAAGATTCAGTAAAGCAATTTGAAGCAATTTGGAAAAAAAGCTTTAAGGTGAAAACCTTAATCCAGGCACGAAATACTAACAACGCTTAAGAAGATTTTGTATAAATTCACAATACGATATCATTCGTGGAAAAAAAGGCTAATCGTTTTAAATGCATTTTCAAAAGGTAATACAGTAAATGCTGTAAACCGCACAGACAGCATATAGAGTTGCAGATAAGCCACAGTACAGCAGCCAGTCAAGCCAGCGCACAAAGCTGTAGACTTGGTGTCACCCTCCATGTAAACGTTAGACTTTGCCCAGCAAATAATTGCAAGCTCCATGACACTGTTTGTATGTAAACATACTGCAGCGAGAGGCAGCTTTTCACTCCAGAAAGATGCTATTTGGAGGAAATTGAGAAGCTCACCCCTGGCTCTGCTTCTCTTCATAAATCTTTGAGCATGTGCCTCTTGGCTAAATGATTTTGAACAGACAAAAATTTCCTCCCATCCCACCTAAGAAGCTGTGATAGGGAATGGTGATATAAAGGAAACAAATCTTAGAAATATTTAAAACAGAAAAAAGGTATCATCAGATTTTTTCTCTAATTCTTGT